CGGCAGCGCGCATGCGCCGCTCCGCAACACCCCTCCACCCGCGGGGGACCCCCCCGATGTCCCTGTCGCGATGTCGCTGTCGCGATAGCGCGGCAAGAAGCAGCTTCCCCCCAGCGGGAGCACCGCTCCCTCCTGCAGCCAAGCAGGGAAGCAAGAACAGCGCAAGGGACAAAGAGTACAAGGGGCTGGGGCCCCTCTGTGCAGCAAGGTAGCAGCTGAGTCCCCCTTCTCCTTGCCAAAATACTAAAAAACAATAAAAATCAAGCCTAACCCTGGCTAGGAGGGGCAGACCGGCCATTATTAACCCACGTGGAACATGAGCACTGCGCAGGCTAAGTGGAACTGCTTCAAAAGATGCATTTTTAGGCAACTCAAAGTAGTTGGGGCTCTGAATTGAGCAGTCCGAGCGCGGGCGCTGGCCGCTTCCCTCGCGCGCGTTTAGCCAACGCAGCACAAACGGCTTTTGTTGCTCCGGGAACAGTTTGGAACTTTCCACGGCCAGCTCAAGAGCGGGTCCCCCGTTATCAGCTGCAACGCGCGCTCAAGGCCACCTGTGGAACATTCGGCTCATTTATTATTGGCACAGCTTGGAATCCGATTGTGAAACTCCTCTCCGCGGTTGTTTGATCCCTTCCGCGGAAGGTGATTAATAGATTTGCTGCTTTTTGAAAACGTCGCGCGGAGGCTGGTGGAAGGGCTCCACCCCGTGGCCCTCTGTCAAGGCACAGCTCAAGGTCCCGTGCGCGTTGGCCGCGGACGTCCTGACGTCTCCCGTTTCTCCTTACACGGTAACACTGACTGCAAGGAAGCTCAGCAAGAGGTTGGTAGCGGTGGCTGTTCCTTTCCCACGTCACCTCCAAAGAAACTGAACTGTCACGGCCAGAACCCACCTCCCTCGGCCACTTGCTGCTGTTGCGGTGGGGTAGCTGGGGTGGCCTCAAAAACCCAAATATCTGCTGGAGAATCCTCCGGGATTCAGGTCACCTGCCGGTTTCTGATGAGGCCTCAAGCGCTGAGCCTGGAGCTTAAGAATCTCTCAGCAGCTCTATGTCTCTTGCCCAAGTTTTGCGTAACAGAACTGTGGCCACATCTCTTACCCATAACCTAATTTTCCCCGATGAGATTGCATAATTTTCAGAGCATTCGCCTCAAAGAACTTAGTGTGATGAAAAGCCATTAGAGCTATTTTAACCCTAATCCATCCTCTCTGTAAAAGGGATCTTGATCCCAGTTTCAATTATGGGATGCCCAGAATCACAACCATTGGCACCTAGAAAAATTAAAACATACCCTGCTTACAACACGCATGGCTTTTTCCATGTAGAAAATGGATTCCTGAAGCCTATGGATCACTCAGCCCCGGAATTTCTCCCTGCAGATGCCTGGTAGATACTAATCAGGGAAGATATGGTCCCAAACAGACCGACTAACCACGGAGGAAACCGGCCGGCCCACAGAAACCCTGGGGGCAGCCAGTGGATGGCGTTGCAGAGATCTGCCAGCCTGCCAATGATGCTCAGGACTTCAGCCTTCACCTGGGCTCTCATTTGCTTTTGCCTTGGAGACGTAGAGTTACTGTTGGAAATAAAAAATCGCACTGTTAGGAGACTAGAGGATAGCGATATTAGCAGTTATTCCGAGCGGGAAATGCTCGGGTTAAGTCGCTCACGGCGAAGGCGAGCGGCTGTACCCCGCGCGCTGCCTCGGGCTCCGTCTCAGCTGCAGCAGAACTCGCAGCGATCTGGAAGGGAGAGCGGCGTCACGGCGGGCGGGCGCTGCCGGCGTCCTCGTGCCGCGGGAGGACGCGCTCGGTCCCAGCCCCGGTCCGGCCGTTCTTACCGCAGCAGGCCCAGCAGCAGGGAGAGCGCCCAGAGCGCGGTGCTGAGCACCCACCAGGCGTGCGAGCTGCCGCGCAGCACGCCGGCGTCGGCGGCCCACGCCACGTGCTCGCACGGGTAGTACAGCTGGTCGGCCACGTTGACGAGCACCGAGAGCGCCCGCACGGCGCCGTCCTCGTCCTGCGGAGACGGCGCCCGCTCAGCGAGGCCTTCCCGGCACCTCTGGCGGGGAGGGCGCCGCCGCC